CCGCTGCTGCTGCGTGCCAACTGTGTCTACGTGCAACGCCATTTTCTGTGCCCGCGGGTGAACTAGTCGACTCGCGTTAGTTCATTCGTTCGTTCGTTCGCGCGATCGGTCGATCGAACGTCGGCGACATCCCGGGCGACGTTTGCCCCACGTTGATCTTAGTTAGCCGCTTCTCAGCGAGGACTTTCGCCCGTTCTGCTCGTTTAACTTCTGCCCGTCTGTGTTAACTCGGCTTCCCCGCCCGGGATATGCACGGACACGCGGCGGACAGCCGTGCGACGGATACGATGGTGAGTGGCGAGCCGTGCGTGAGTGTTGTACGCGAGTGAGAGAGACGGAGGCAAAGCGAGGATTAATCGAGAGCGACGGTGACGGGAGAGCGGGATCCGGAGTTCCGTGTGTTCCCGTTGCGACGTCTTGTCAGTCGGTTTTTTTCCCGTGCGCCGTCGTCGCGCGGCCGCGATAACGGAATCCCGCGGGGGCCCCAGGATAAAACGAAGCCGCGGCGTCGAGGAAAGACAGCGGTATCGCCGCCGCCGTCGCCACCGCCGCCGCTCGATGGGCGGCGGTTTCCTGGGGGGTGGAGGGAGGGAGCGGCACATGGCTGTCGTCGCGTAGAGCACGGGGCGCCGGCTGTCCGTGCAGGGGGTGGCCCTCCCTCGAGAACTATTATTCTCTCGCTCTGTCTCTCTCTCTCCCTCTCTTTCACACGGAACAAGCGGTTCTACCAAAGCCTTGCGTCTTTTTCCCTCTCATCGTCCAAGCGACAAAAGGGAACCCTACTGTCTTTCCGTTGACGGCGTTGACAGCGAGATGCCGATTGTCGAACGTCACTGTTAAACTCGTAAGAGGGTAATTATTCACCCCTCGCGTCATTCGTGGGATGAGATAAGGATCCGGTGCCACCATGAGATTGATTGAGTAATGTGTTAGTTGATTTGTAGCTCCATTTTGGAGGTGGCCTTTTAACAAGTTTCTCCTTGCAAGTCATGGAGACTCTTGCTTGAAACCTTTCAATTTTTCATCCCTGTTTCAATATAAAAAATAACATCAAATTTATACTTTAATTAATTAATTTGTCATTGTTAGTTTTGTCTTTTTTTAATTAAGAATGTATATTGAGAGAACAAATTTATGACGATCTGATACTATCGTAAGATTAATTAAGTAATGTATCAGAGTTGATTTATAGCTCCATTTTGAAGACCTTTTAACAACCCCTGTTTCATGGAAATGTCTCGACTCTCCTTTGAACCTCTATTTCACACACTAGAAGAAAATTATCTTTGACTACAGCTGTGAAAATCTACACATAAATTCTGAAGGTTCTATTTGAAGTATGAAATGCAAGTGAATCTCTTATAGCGATTGATAGAGGAAGATTTAACGTGCAGATACAATAGAAGGAACAAGGAATAAAGACTAAGATTTCAACTTCACAGGAACTGTGTTCTGATGTGTAGGTTGAAACTACTTGTTCCTTATTCTTTATTACTTCTATTGTGTCTGTACACTTTCGAAGTTTTTTTACAATTTAAACCCTCATAGTATCAATCGTACAGACGTATAAAAATATATTTGTACAATCGTCCAAAAATTTTCACATTGGATCCAAATGACCTTTTATTATACAGTCAAGGGGTTAATTTTGTATTATGATTAATTTCGTCATTGCTAGTTTTGCCATTTTATTGTCGAAATTAATATTGTGAATGGAAAACGCAGTTATATGCAAGCGAAGTAGTCGTCATCGATATCTTTGATTTTGTAATCGACAATCCTGTCATTTCCGTCACTTCACGTCATTTGCCGGGAGCGACGTTTCGCGCGTAACACCCGGTAGGAAAAACGTGAATCATTGACTGCAAATGAATATAATCAAACGTAAGAATATTATTACATAATAGTAGTATGTACAGAAAAAAATTGTGCACTTGATTAAATGTTTATTTGACTAAATTAATTTAGTTTGTCTCTATTTCTTTTATTAGCGAATGATGTATGTATTTATTTCATCGAAAGAAATAAAGACGAACTATATTAATTTAGTGAACTAAACAATTTTTTTCTTAGTATATGTATATATATATATATATATATATATAATCTATCTTACACAATATTTAATTAATAAGATAACACTTATCATTGTGCGTACTATAGTAGATTCGATCTTCATAATATTGAATTAGGTTGATATTACATTCGTTGTACAACAAACTTTTCAAGTCTGTTGATTTATTATGCGAGCTATAAAATAGAAAGATCGAGAACTCATTTCTCCTGCAGCCAATTAACAATTCTTGAAAAATTTGTCGTACGACAAATGTCATATCAGTCCTCTCTCTCTCTCTCTCTCTCTCTCTCTCTCTCTCTCTCTCTCTCTCCCCTCTATTTTTTAGGAAAGACTTTGACCCTGCACGCGCACGTTTACCTGCATATTCGTATGTATTGCATGCACGGGAAACGTGGAAAATAGCGGGGAAAAACTTAAACGTGGGAAATTGCAGAGCCCGGAGGTATGTTTCGCGATGGAGCGAACCGGAGGAAGGGTCGGTGCTACGTGCTGAGAGTATCACACGATGTATATAAATTAACGATCGTTCAAAAATAATTTGCGTGTGAAATGAATGCAAAGCCGTCATTAACGATACAAGCACTGCAAAGTTTTGTTAAAATATCTGCAAGTTTAACTAGAAACAGATCTGAAAATAATTTTATTGGACCATCAAAACAATTACATCGCCTGCTCAAACTTTTTGCAATATTCTTCATTATGCTTGAGATTCTTACCTAATTATTTTAATGGTCTAATGAAATTATTTTCAGATTTGTATCTACCTAAATTTTTAGATATTTCGACAAAATCGTTCTTTCTGTGAGGTGTTTCGATTCTCGATCGCATCAATATCTCGGTGAACGAATTATTGCAAAGTATTCTTTAATTTCTCGTAATTTCAATTTAACTCTGTCATTATTAATATCATTATTAATCCTCCGTGGTCCAACATTTTTTTCACTACTTTCGTACTCCAATCGGGTCACTGGTGTCTGACTTTATTTTTTTTTTAAATCTGAAAAAAATTCTAGCACACTTTTAAACATTTAAAAATACTCTTTCAATATTCAAGAATATGACCCGAAACGTTTTTCACTTTTTTGTATATGTTTGAATTTAAGGCAGAATAATTTAAAATTGAAAATTCGATTGGATCTTCAAATTTCCAGTTGGATCATAAAGTGTTAATATCACTCTTGTCATTATTAATATCAAATATATAACAAAGAAGAAAGGCTCCAATAAAAATAATCCTTTACTCAAAATAAACCAATGCGAGCCAACACAAGTTAATCGTATGCAAAAAATACATTAATAAAACAAAAATATAAACGTTTTGACTTTTACTTTGGATCATCTTCAGTATAATACAAATTAATAAATATTTCGTTTACAATAAGACCAGATTGTTGAGATGAATATCAAATCAGAGAACATCATGTATTATTAATATCATTATTAATATCGCTCTAATTTTGTGAGTCGGCAACGAGGATGAATCATCGGATTTGATTGCATTAATTAACCTTTAAAGGGCGGAGATCTATTTTTAAAATCTGATAGATTCGAGCTTTCCATTAAGTAAGATTTATAATTCATTTGATTATATTTCTTGTAAAATATGACACTGTTTCAGAGCCACTATAGTGGCTTTTCCATCTTGTAAAGGTTAATATTATTTAATACCTTTCGTTTAAATTATTTTTAATTTGTTGGATAAGAACGTGGTAGTGTATACTAATCATATTGTAATTGATAATTATCGTACTTAGTATTTGGCTCTGAAGAATGAAAATTTATATTTATTGAAAGCTGAAATCGCCTGCAAATGTAAAGTGAGAACTTTACACTCAATACGCTTTTACACTCGATGTATCAGTGGCAGGATCTCAAAGAGTTATGGTCCGTCTGACCTTTCCTGCATTAATTTATTAACGAACCATTAGATCGCGGTCGCCGCGGGTGTGCACGCGTTTTACATACGCGTATGCGTGCACGCGGCGTTATCGATTGACGACTGTTAATATGCCAAGTCATCGTGTCTTTTTCTTACTGCCTAGACCTGAGTTCTCCGTCTAGAATCGATTCTCAGTTCGAACATATGGCGAACATTTTATCGGGCCTGAGGGCTACGACACACAAAAAAACTTAAGCAGTAAAGAAATCAACATGTTGGATTTGATATTGCTTACGTTATGGTCTTACGATTTCTGTTACGATTGAGTAATTCGATTACTGCTTACGATTTGCTGCTCAAGTTTTTATATGCCATTGCCCTAATTCGACAAATTTCGAAATTTCGTTATTATAACTTTGAAGTTTTGATGTTGCTAGAAAGAAGATCTCTCTCTCTCTCTCTCTTTCTCTTTCTCTCTCTTTCTAGTAACTTTGAACTTTCAAACACAATTTGTAAAGCTTTACTCCGTTTCCACTAACGTTGATTAACTTTAATCTTGGTTCAACTTACTCTTCATCTTTTTCTAATCTTTAGTACTAGAATAGATAAAGAGAGATAAAATTGAATCGAGATTATCTAAGTGGAAACGAGCATTAGAGATTGAAAGTCTTGGAAACCTTGAAATTTTAGAATTATCAAACATTCGATTACTCTTGATAAGATTTTTTTTTTTAGTTTGAAAATTTTTTAATTCGAAGCTACAGGAGCTTAGAATTGTTCAAGAGTTTCTATAGGAATTCTGAATTCCTAAAGTTGTGAAACTTTACTAGTTGGTCTCGAGATCTTTGTGACCCAATTGGATCCGCATTTACCCTCTCGGCTCTGTTGACATTCTCAATGTAGCCTGTGGGAGAATGCGACCAGTAAGCCCGACCCTCTTATTTCGTTCACGGTTATTCGGCTAATCTTGGATCATCTTCCGGTGGATCTCCCTTAGCTACTGTTACCAACCCAATTTTATCTGAACCCGATAGGCAAACCGAGTTACATAGTATCGAATTCTTGATAATGTAACAAAGTTATCTCGCGCTATCTTTTTTTACAGCGAATATCACTTTTTTTTCGGTGTAATAGTACTCTTTACGATTTTATAATTATTCTATTATTTTCCTAACACGTGCAACAGTCATTGTCAGAATATCGTTGCTTTATAGACATCTAAATGCAATACTGCCGTTCACTCTCCAGGTCTCCGCTGGCTGTTACCTTGAACGGGGTCGACCACGTGCCGTTGTCGTGTAACGTAAATACATACCGTGGTGTTTCGTCTCTCG